AGGAAGGAAGGAAGGAAGGAAGGAAGGAAGGAAGGAGTGCCTATGGAACTAAGAGAAAGAGAATGGGTATAATATGAACTGCTAAAAATTGTGAGATGTGGCATATACTTAAATAGAATAAACAAACAAATACATCTTTGACACAATTTCCGGGAAAAACAGCATTTGCTTGGTGTGGCAGAGACCCTTGTAGACCAAAAGGTGGAGAGCTGACTGGTGAATAACAAAAACAAAGTGCTGTTCTTCCAGGAAATAAATATTTCCTTGCCAGAAACAACAGCTAAATAGCTGTGCGAGTTGGGTGTCTGGTCTGTTTCACAGCCCCAGTCAAAATGGCCATGGAAGGCACTACCTGACAGTGACCAAATGGGGAGGAGGCATGTCTGCAGAAGACTTAAATGGCCGACAATTGGTGGACAGATCCTACCCCGAATATATCATTATCAGACATCACAGATTAAACAGCAAGATTTGTATGGGGGGGGGAGAGAAAACCCCCTTCGACAGTGAATCAACTGAAGTGGAGCTCTGGATGCCTCCAGCACGGTGTGGTTGACACAGAGACAATGTCATGTCCCTTAAAAATGGTTAGCAAGGTGCATTCATGCCATAGTATGTGGCCGATGATTTGCCCATGGATTAAAAACAAATTGGGGAAAATGTCAGCTGAACAAATAGCACATCCTCCTTCTATTTCAGATTGTAACAAAGGCAAAAAATATCCTTAAAAATCTGAACAATCAAGTGCTATAAGTACTCCTCTCAGATTTTTTTGAAAGCTAAGCTCCTAACCCTTATAATTTACAAAGACAGACTTCCAAGTATATGGGGCAATACCTGGAGTGAGAAAGCAAACTGGGGGACAGTGAAGATCCTAAGAAAATATTTGAGAGAACCTACTGCAGTTGCTCTGAAAACATCATGTTGGCTCCCTCTTACTTTGTGGCCCCTTCTGTAATGGTATGTGGGAATGACCTTGGGAGGCAGGAGGAAGAGCCGCAGACTAAACAACGGTCTGATAAGAGGCAGCTTAGCCTGCAGAAGCAATGGGAGTGTGGCAAACGTCTCAGAAGGGACCCTCCCTAGTTTCTTGGACTGTAAAGTAAATGCTCTAGAAGGTAGTCCTATTTCAAGTTCACAAGAGAGTGATATTCTAGCACTGAAGAAAGAAAACAAGGAAGGAGGGATGGGGAAGCTGCCATTCAGTGACAGAGCCCCTCTACTTTCAAAAACATTTTATCTCCTATTGAGCCTATCAATAATTTTAGTGGTTCCCCCCTGCTGCCCCCAGTTCATGGGAAGAGATGTCTGAAGAAAGCCAAGCCTTGCTTTCCATCCAGGAGGCTCTCTTTCCTGTCTGTAGTTGAAGTGCTGGCCTTGGAGTGGCAATGCGGGTGGAAGCTTCTGCCTTCCAGCCAAGAAACTTGCAAGGATGGCGAAAGATGTCTGCTCTAGTTTAGAGAGTAACCCTGATTTGGGAGGTGAAAACAGCATCTGCTGATCTTCAACCTTGGCTTGGAACATGAGTCTCCCAATGAAAAAAACATTTTTCTGTTCTGCTGAATCTATATAAGGAATTAAGCATACACGTAACTTTCCCTTTGGTGACTTCCTCCCAGTTCTTACTCCATGCCTTAATTTGGAAACAGTAGCGTTGTCGGGGGACAGAATCATGTCACTGGCAGTCACCAATTACCTATGTGGTTGCAGCCCACATTGTATTTTATTGCAATAGGCGGAGGAAGTTTTTTTCCCCAGGATTTGAATGTTGTGGTTTAACAGCTGGGAAAAAGCAACAAAGGCTGTGTTGTGATCCTTTGGAACAGCTGTTTATTACTAATACAGTTGTATCTGTGTTTTTATACCCAGACAAGCCTTTCATTACTTCTCTGAGCAAGACAGAGCCACCAGTATCCTGCACCCCCTTTGTTTCTAGGGCCCCCCAGAACCCCCCCCCCACATCCCTCCTTAAGAATGCAGAAAACTCTCTTTTTCCCTTTTCCTCCCCCCACCCCAAGGAACCCGTCACTTCCTGCTTCTGGGCTCTGCCCGCCCCGAGGACACAGGCCAGGTCCGTTTCATGGCCAAGACAGCTGCTTCAGAAGCCAGGCTGGAAGTGGAAGGTAAGGAAACTGCTCCTCAGCTGGGCCCCATGTGCAGCTCTAGGGCAAGACTGGGCTGGGCTCGGCAGGCAAAGGATGGAGTCTGTGCTGGGATGCTGGATGAACAGGCCTGTCTCTTTGTAGGCACTACTTGCCCCAAGCTGCTTTGACCTTTCCGGGGCATGCTGCAAGATGCGCTTCAAAAAGCAGTGGGTAGGGTCAGGACAGAAAAGAAATGTTGTTTCATTTGCATGTATGTTTAATTAAAATTAAGCGTAGTTTAGGTGATGGCTCTCCAGTCTCATATTTAATCATTTCTCCTGCCTGATACTGTACATTAAAAATGGTGAGTTAGCAACAACTTTGAAGGTCTCTGGGAAGGATTTGGGGCCCATATTTGGCCTGAGGGCCCCAGATTGTGCATCTCTAATTTAAGGAAGCATGTGCTACATAATGACAAGGATTGTATGTTTATAGGCAGCTAGACCAGGCCTTGTGCACGCGTGTGCACGCAAGTACGAGCAGGGAAAGGATAAAGATTGATGTGGCTGCCTGGGAAAGACTATATGTGAACATAGAAGGGGAAGCTGAAAGCACGTTTGTAGCAAACAGGCCTCTCCAGTAATCTACCTTGCTCTGATAAGTCTAGAAATGTTATGTATATACTGTGCGTGCACAGCAGTGTCTACAGGTGGGGTCAGAATTACTCTTATTTATTTGTTGCATTTCTATCCCACTACAATCCAATGACTCTCATCGTGTAGCAAAATGAGAAAAGTGGCATTCCACTGCTGTGATGCAAGCCCCGCCTCCTTTGTACATGCATCATGATGAAAGGGGTGGAGCTTATGGCAGGGTTCTGCTTTCCTCCACTTTACAAAAGCTGCAAGATTCTGAGGATGCCATTCAGGGTTTTCTGTAAGGACCCAGATCTCCTTTATCAATTCGCAAAAGTGGGTCAGGGGTCAGGAGGGGAGAAGCCAACCTCTCAGAGCCTTTGGGTCTGCTCTTTCTACAGCGCTGCCCATTCGCATTGTGAAGCCGCTGCGGGATAAAACTGTACTGGTGCGCCACAAAGCCACCCTGGAATGTACGGTGTCTCAGGCTCGAGGGCGTGTGCGCTGGTTTCGTGGTGACACAGAGATCTTTGCTGGGCCTAAGTATGAGATCTGCAATTTGGATTGCTACCGAACTCTGGTTATTCACTGTGTTGAGCCTGCAGATGAAGGCCTGTATACCTGCGATGCGCTGGATGACCATTCCACAGCCCGCCTGCTAGTGGAGGGTAAGGGTGTGAGTGCAGTGAAGAACAACAGGGAGGGGAGATGGCACACTCCTAAGGAAGACAACGCTGCGGAGAAATGATTAGCGGGTGTGGCCGGCCGGCAACAGATTGAGAAGGCCAAAGAGGCAGAAGCGGAGCTAAAATTAGAATAAGGATGGGCAACCTGCAGCTGCATGGCAACAAGCCCTTTTCGGCAGCCTCTGGTGCCCTACTAACTGCCCCGCCACATTTTGGTGACACTACCCTAAACCTGGCGTGATTTCTCAACTTTTGAGGGGGCAAATAGATGACAACTAGCAGAAGCCTTAAAATAGGATTGACAACTTTAAATAAATAAATGTGTGAAGACCCCCCCCAGCAAGCAAACAAAACCCTCCCCCTCCCTTTTTGCAAGATGTAGTTCACTTTCTGCCATTATTCTTTCCACTGCAGCCATCCAAAATAAAAAGCTGCGCAGCCCGAGTTATATGCTCTGCTCGAGTTTGCTTTCATTACCTAGACTGTCTTTTCGTACAAAAGCAGTAATCATCCTTTTTTGAGTTTTTCACCTAATAGCCTTTGCCTTATTATTCTAGCTTTAACACAATGGAAGGAGCCACATTACTGTTGTTGTTGTTGCTGCTGCTGCTGTTGTTATTGTTGTCTGACACTTAAGAATTGGAAACTTGCTAATCCATGGCAAATTATCCAGTGATCTGTTAGTCTGTTTCAGCCTCATTCTTTAGAGATTGGCTGCTGTGTCGATGAACAACTCTTGCTGTTCTCTGCCCTTGCAGCTGAGGGAATCCAGGTGGTCCGGCCTCTGAAGAATGCAGAAGTGGTGGCTCCCTCAGAGGCTCAGTTTGAGTGTGAAATATCTGCCCCTCCAGACTTCATTCCCCAGTGGAGCCTCAATGGGGAGGAGCTGCAGCCTGGCTTGCAGGTGCAAATGGAGAGCATGGGACACATCCATAAGCTGAGGCTCTACAAGACTACCCCTAACATGAGTGGGATGGTGAAGATTACCATTGGTAATGCCCGTTCCAAAGCCCATCTCACAGTTCGAGGTAAATCTGTCTGATGTGTTTGGATGGGAGCAGGGAAAATGTGAAATTGATTCTAGAATAAGAACATGTAAGCAAATCCCTATTCTAAAAGGCTTGGCTGTAAGACTAGTCTGAACCATGTGAAATCATGTGAGAAATGGACCAGACCTTCTATGGCTTGGACATTACCACAGACACACTTGGGATACTGTTCAAAGAAGATGAAATGGGCTGTGTACTTGGTCCAAGAAAAGACTGAATTCAGAGTGACCATCTCTAAACTTGCTGTTGAACTACTGTTCCTAGGATCCCTCACTACTGGCCATGCTAGCTAGGGTTGCTAGGAATTATAGTTCAGCAACATCTGGATGACTATAGATTCTTATCTCTGGGAATATACAACTGAGGGAAGGGGAAGTGGCTGAACTGTTCCCCAGTCCTGATAGATTTATTTGTAGCAACTTTTGCTTTTTTCAACAGAGTGCTAGCATCAGGAAAATCCTGAATACAGTGGAGCCAAGTTTAAGCTTGGAAAGGCAAAGACAACAAGTTTGACCATTTTATGAACAATCACGAGAACTGACATACAGAAAGACAAGTCATCTTGTCTTCTTCCTCTTCTGCATGACGTGGGAAGCACATTCTGCTTTATTAAATGTTCTTAAGTCCTGATTTTTAAAAAATATTGTTGCTTTTTGGTTGAATGGCCAACTGCTCTGCTTTCTTCTCCCCCCCCCCCAGATGAATTGATGTCATGGTATGTACTGCATTCCCCTCTTCTCCAAAGATCTTCATATAAAACAGCAATAGGCTCAATGAAAGGCCGTATGCCTAGATATGTCCATTGTGCAGTATACACAAAGTGCATTACTTGCACTTCCAAACCTCATTCCTTAAGGAAGACCTGAAGTCAAAAAGAGAAAGAACCTCCTTTGGAGGAAAAACACAAATGGATAATTTAAAGCAATTATTTGGGCTGCATTATGCCTTTGCCTACAAAGCAGGAAAATGTCAAAATTCAAGATTGTTCTGTTAGATATATCTGCTGAAAATAATGTTTCAAGATGTGGGTTGACTTCATTCTCCTCCTTCCAAATTAAGCTCTAAATCATCTCCAGTCCTATCTTAATGCGCATGCAAGAAACAGTGGTTTGGTTCTAGTGTGATGCTTGTAGCACATTCATTGATGGAAGCACTGCTCCTAAAAGGCTTTTTTTTTTACTTGCGCAGCCACAGCCCGGCAGCGTTTGGCACATATACAAAAAGAGAGAGACAAAACAAACAAGAGTGCAAAGTTTCTGGGGTGACAACAGTGATGATTGGTGACAGACACATGCAGTTTCTCAATGGAGAGAAGCCTTGCTGGATCCTTATCTGCCTCCCCTGAAATAAATGGCTGATGAATCCTCCCCCCCTTCCAGTCTCCTTAAAGTTGGAGATACTGAGCAAGCCCCAGCCCCAGAGACAACAGTGGAAGTCAAAACCCAAATGTCGGAGCTGCTAAAGTTTGTCCAACTCCAGCGCAGGGGAAACACCTCCATCGCTGTCCTCCCCCAGCTTCGTGAGATTAGATAGGAAAACATGGTTTGGGCCTAAGATCCTATTCCCTTTTCTCTCTCCATCTTCCGGATCTGACAAAACTCTCCAGGCCCAGCTCTTGGTCAATAATAAATTAATACAAATAACTGTCACAAGACTATGTACATGGGTTCCCCCTCCTCAGCTCCATTACTACCTCACCCTCTTTCCAGCATCAGAAGTGGAGGGGGGAGGGGCATCCAAAAGGTTCATTGCCTGGATACCAGTCACATGTCTGTATCTGCTCCAGTGCCACCACATGCACACCGAGTCACACTCACGCTTGCATACTTCAACAATGACGAAGCCCAGCCCAGGTTGCCAGCCCCCACCCTCCTCCCCTTCTTCCTTGAGTCACCCATTTAAACAGAATGCCAGGCACTGGTATGGGCAAGGGGCCCAGGGCCAGAGGGCCCCATTTCCCTGAGCTGGCTAGTTCCCACCAGACTGGAGTGAACTGAGTCAAAACTTTCCACTACCAGTACACGATGGCACTTGCGCCCTGAAACAGTCCTTAGGGTCAGTGCATGCAAAGACAGACTGCAGGACAAGGAAGTTGTGGCAAGAGAGCACACAACCACCCAACAGTCCTCCCTTTTGAAGCCCGCTCCAGAAGTGATGGGTAGGAAAGGTTGCCATTGCTTGTTGTGGGGGTTGTTCCAGATGAGTAGTTCTCTCTTTAGTGGCCTCCCCCCAAGTTCTGCATTTCACATTCCTGACCGGGGTGGGTTGCAGCCAGATCCCTCTTCAGCCCTTTGCCTCAAGCACCTGCTCAAACTCCTTCCTTGCCCCTTGTTGCATGATGGCTTAGACAGAGCCAGTGAAGCACTAGGAAGAATTCCACTTAGACTTCACAGTTTGAGAGGTGCTGAACTACATCTGCACGTAGGCCACAAATACCAATGAAGAATATCCTCAAGTCCTGGTGGTAACCCAGATGCTAGCTATAGCCACATGGCTTGACCCAGGTGACCACAGGGGACAGCACCTGTGTTCTGGGGGGAGGTGCTGGTTTATACTCGCATGGCAGGGCCTGAGCCGGTTGTCAGGGGCACAGTGGAGCCACAGTCATAGTCTATGTCAATGGCAGCATGAGCATTGGCCAGGAGGCTATTGAGAGAGGAACCCGTCTGCCGTTCCCGGAAGCTCTGTATGTAGCTCTAGGAAAAGAAAAAAAAAATTTTTTTTAATGTTTTTAAAATGATTAAAAATTACCAAAAATAAAAAAAAATCTCCACCCCATTTCTTGCTGAAATTTTACTGTATGGAAGAACTGACTTTGCTGTCTTGCTCCAAAGTGTTTTGGGTAAGTCCAGGCTTCACCTCCTGATCTGCTTGGGAGAAGGAATAATCTCTGAGCTGTCACAAATGATTGCAGTACAGCTATCACTTTCTATAGCTGCTAGAGTTTTCACTCATTTTGCCACTTTAAACAGGTTGCAATTTACTGCATTTAGGCACCCCAGTAGCAGGGGGGTGGCTTGTCAGAAGAAAAGTTTGGCCCAGGCTGTTTGTAGTTAGGGAACTAAATAGCACAGATTACAAAAGTGTAAATAGACATTGGCTGGCATAGTTAACTATGTTTATCATTTTTGGGTGGAAACCTCACTGCATGTACTTTAATTAGGTGGGTTCCACAAGAGCCTTATGGCAACACTGTTGGTAAAAGGCAGACATTCCTCTGGTTAAAAATAAATTTTGAAGAGTTAGAAAGATGCTCCTCCACTCCTGCCTTCCAAATGCAACCGCCAAGAACAGAATTGGAATACATTTTCTCTGAGCATCTTCTCCTGATATATGCAACACCTTGATTAATGTGAAGGCATCAATTCATAGCCAGCCAATGGGGCTGGGCTCTCTCCATTTCTGTTTTCCTCCTTGCATCTCAAAAGAAATTCCACCCAAATTACTGGGTGGGGGGCATGGAAAGCAGCCGATGCAGAAACACATCCATGCTGCAAGAAAAGGCTACTGAAAAAGTGAAGTGCTAGGAATACACCGTGGAAGTGCTTCATGGATAGTGAGCAGAATGGTGGAAACAAACAGGGGGCCTGGGAGGAAAAGAACAGGAGCCAGCTTATTTCCTCCAGCAGCTTCTTCTACCCCATTAATGGCAATTTCAGCTGAGGTTCCTACCACTCTGCCCCTGTGTAGGAAGGCCCTGGCGTTTACTCACCGGGGAGAGCACATCCCCATCAAATCGACGCACAGGATTAGGCTTGCGGCGGTAGGCCGGCTCGGGTGGGCGGGCCTTGTGTTGCAGGTGGGGGTGAGAGTGTGGCCGCCTCTTCTTCTTCTCTTTGCGCTCTTCCCGCTGCTTGATCCGCATCAGCTGCACACGGCGCTGCTGCCGACTGATAATCACTGTGAGGGAAGAAGCGTGTGGCGTGAGAACCCTATGGGACAAAAGGCTGGCAGCAGTGAGGGAGCGCAGCCATTTCCAAACTTCTTTAGTGCGGATTTAAAAAAAATGAAAAGGCAGAGTTGATATCCACTTGCCACCTACCAAAAATTTGGTAAGTTCATGGCTGACACAGGTCCTGAGTTACGGTAATACCTCGGTTCACGAATGCTTCTGTTCACGAACAATTCGGTTCGCGAAGAGCAGTGTTTACAAAATTTTGCTTCCGTTCGCGAACTCCGCATCGGGTGACGAACACGACCTGCGGCCATCTTCCCTGCTCTGACACGTGGTCGTGGCTTCCTCTAGGCGAGATCGCGGTCGCAGACAG